GATTTCCTTAAAAATCTTCCAATACTTTACACCAGAAGAAGTTCAGAAATAAAAGATGTGCTACAACTGTAATGGAGCCAAAAAAGAAAACACATGATGGAATGTTAGCCTTGAGACAACTAATCAGACTTTTACTCAAGACAAAAGTCAAACACAAGAGTGAGAAAGTGCAAGAGAGAAATGCAAACTGCCTGAAAGCAAAAAAGAAAGCTAACCTCACCTTGACAAGGTTTCTGCAAGCAGAAAGGGAGCTCACTCAGGCAACTTTGGAAAAGCAGAACTCAATCTGCAGTGCATATTTGTTCTAAGTTGCTCAAAAGAAAGAGGGCCATTTATGTGGGATACTAACAGCATTTATTCAAAAGTCTCATTTATAAATATCAAACTGATGTTTGAGAGTGGTGAGGCACTGGAAGTGGTAAATGTCCCATCCCTGGCAGTGCTCAAGGCCAGGTTGGACACAGCCTTGGGTGACACAGTCTAGCGTGAGGCATCCCTGCCCATGGCAGGGAGCTGGAACTAAACGATCTTAAGGTTCTTTCCAACCCAAACCATTCTGTGTTTCTGTGAACTGAGCCTTGCTTTAGACTACCACAGGAAGGAAAAAAAAAAAAAAATAAAAAGGAGCTGTATTGTAGATTTCTCTTTAGGGAAACATAATTATTTTGGATTTCAGGAACGGCTCCGCTTGGAGCTGCAGCTAATATCCTAACCCCAATTTCCTTGAGCATTACTCAAGCAGTAGCATTTTTATTTTAAAACCCCTTAGTCCTCTTCCCCCACCAGTATTTCTCTTCTAACACTTTTCTTTCTAATTTTAGGCTTTTGAGAAGTTTCTTTTCCAGATCAACCCACTCTTTTTCACATTTAAATAATTTTCAGTTTTTTCAAGAGCTCAGCTTTAGCAGGTGTTTCAGTAGCTAAGCAATAAGAAATCTCTTGAGAACATCTTCCATGTTTCCCAAATGGATTACCCTGTTTTGGGAGAGCAGTATTAAGCAAAATAACCATGCCAGTGAATTTCAAAACTGAAATAAACCTGCTAAGATGCAGAAGACAAAAAGACACACTCCCTAAAAGAAGCACTTGCCATGCTCCCTGTTAACAAATAAGGAAGGTGCAAGAAGCAGCAGTGGCTGCAGTCGCAATACCAGTAATTAACTTGAATGCAGTAAAATTCAACAGAATAAATTTAGAAGCTTAACATGGAACAAAACGATGCAACTCCTCCTTTTCTGAATTATTCAGCTTCACTGCAGCCCCAGGACCATGAATGCTAAATGGTTTGCAACCATGAACCAAGTTAAGTACATTTCAGTGGCTAACGGTGGAAAAACCCCACATGCTGTCAAAGCAGCGGCGACTTTACTGGTAACTTGGACCCACAGCCCCCCCCGCTAAAACATGTTTACTATGAACAGATCTGGAAGCTGAAGTGAAACAAGGGCAAGATACCTGGACACTATTTTCAAGTACCACCCACCTCTGGCCCTTCATGTCACCTCCAGCTACTTGAGAGCTGCATTTTTTCACTTGTGGCTCCTGGAAGGTAAATGCTGCAGTACATTTCAGCAATTTCTTCTTCTTACAGTGTCAAGTAGTATGAGAAAGCCCACTGACAATAATGTCTCTGTGCCTTCATGCAGCTAGAGCAGACTTAGATCTTAAATGTTCATCTACAGTCACAAGGTTATCTTCCACATTTCCCTAGACTGCAGGAACATCCTCCTCCTCCAGTGCAAAAAAGGCCTAATAAAAACTTGAATCTAGCTTGCTCTGTCTCTACAGAGGTAGCACTTGCAGTAATAATATAAGTTAGAGTAGAATACAACAGCAGACATATCTTATTCTTCAACATGGCACGTCATCCCCCATTTCTACTCCCTTTGCCTCTTTAATTCTTCTAACCACAGAGACTGAAAAAAACTAATCCTATTTTAAAGCTGTACTTAATGCTCAAAATGCATTTTCTTACCCAGTGCAAAGTTTTCAGGGGAACATTTCTTCAGCACATGTTATGACCTGGGATTGCTCTAACCTCAATTTTCCAGATGCATTTCAGTACGTTCCTGAACTAACCTGGCTTGCTAGCTTGCAAGAATTTTTAATAACATCCTTTTTCTTTGAGGTTTCAAGCCTGTGTTCTCTGTCTTCCAAGTGTGCTTCCTTGTCTTCCTTCTGTTTAGGCTCTCTAGAAGAGTATCAACTATTCTCAGCTGTGCCAGCCTGACTGCTGAGAACAGCCAGGTGTATTTGGGAAATACTGGAACCTAGGAAAAAGAGAATTCTGATAGTTCCACAAAAAACTCTTCAAAACATGTAAATCAATTCCCTTCTTGCCTTCACTCTCTTTTTCCCTGTGGCTGAGGGTGTGAAAGGGCACTGGTCAATGAGCTGGGGTACATCCTCAAGTACAAGTTTTACCCCATTAAGTACAGCAGAGCTGGCTCCCATGGCTGGCCTTATCCTTAGGCTAAGCATGGAAATATATCAAAGCAGCTGGATTCAGATTAACACCTCTTCCCTACCTTCAGCACAGGTTTAAAACAGTGCAGGTGCTTATGATCATGGTCAAGGAATTTAAACCTTCAGATTTCTCCTCATCACTGTATCTTCCTTTTTTCAAAAGTGCCTTTGTCTAAACACGGACCAAATAAAGTCTGAATTGAAAAAGAGGACAGGAAATTAGATCAAACTGAGTATGTAGCATTCTCATTATCCCTCACGTCAGACAAGTCAGAAGCAGTTACATAATTGGGCCTCCAGACTCTAGGCAGTGAAGTGTTAAGAGGGAAAAGCAATCCCAGGACTGCACGCTGGGTTTTGACAAATAGAAAAACACAGAAGTAGGCCAAGAGCTTGCCATCAATGTTGGTTTTTAATTGTACCACGTCAAAAAAAAAGGTTCATGTTATGGCACATGTGGTCTAAGAGGTAAGAAACCGTGTAGTGCAAGAAATGGAGAAGTGAGGGAGGGAATCTGATCTGTGCTTGCATACACACTTGAGTGTGAATCAGAGAAAGAGCACTTGTGAGTAAGAATGCATGTCTATGAGGAGTACAGTGCCTAGAAACACAAGGGGAAGCAGTGGTCCATAAGCAATTGCTATGAAAAGGAATGGGGGTGGGGAATTGTGCACAGCCCTTTTTTAGCTTCTGCTGCAGAAAAAATAAATAGACCTTTTAATCTGTGCTCTCCTCGGCTCCTTCTCTATTGACCATTCATTTCTTCTTTCCCTTCCCAGCTCTTTACCTCCTCTATATGGCTGATGAATATGCAAATGCACAATCAGTTCTGTAATAGCTTATCCTTTCTAAAAACAGGCTATAAATTTGGATCCTAAGCAGCAGCTTCTAAAAAGACCATTATATTATATGGCTGGGGGGAAGAGGCAAGACCCAAATACCACCACTAGCACATCAGAGTTCAGCGTGAATGCGGCTAGAAGGCAGGCCCTTCATCTAGCAGAGCTAGCAGCCAGAAGGGAAAGCTCTGCTGCACAACTACACATGAACCTCCTCCTCCAGGCTCCTGCAGGGCCAAAGCCCACGTGCTAGCCCTAGGCAGGGCTCCCTGCAGGCTCTGGCAAGAGCACGAATGTGACACAGAGCCCGAGATCCCGCAGGTTTTGGATCTGATTGATGCCAGCTACAGGAGCTGTGGGAGCTCTCGGGAGAGCCCCAGTACCCAGCGCAGCAGCCAGGGCTCTGCAGCAGCAGAGGGGCACACAGGCAGTGGAGGCTGCCCTGTGCACACACACACACACACACACACTGCCACGGGTGTCTGCAGGGAGGTACAGACGTGTCCAGAGACATAAACGCTGCTGGGGGCACATGTGCACCCCCAGGAAGGGGTGGCAGCAAACATAGCCCCCAGACCGGGGCCCTGGCAGATTCTCAGAGCTTCAGTTGGCTCAGACATGGTTAACACGAGAGCGAAGCTCTGACCCCTGCCCCTACTGTGCCACAGGAGGCAGCTGTGCCACAAGCTGGATGGCAGTTTGAGGATGCGTACACTGCAGCTCAGATGCTTCCCAGCTTCCCAAGGAGCTGCCTCCTTTCTTCAGTAAAATAAGCACACTTTGGTACAATACTTGCATACACTTCCATGTCTGCCATTTTGAGGCCCTTCTCAGGTTTTCGCTGGGCTTTACGGTATTCCTGGGTGTTGTCACTGCAGGGTAGAAGGCAAGAACTATTAGTCCAAATTTAATGAGATGGTATTGTTCTACTATACAGGCACTGAAAGCTGAAGGTGCTGTCCCCAAGTTCATCACTTCATCAGTCCAGCTTGTGAGCTGCAGTGCTGGAGCCCCACAGGAAGGAATCAGGCCCAGTGAGCTTTTAGCTCCCCATGGAAAACTGCTCCGGAACAGACACGTCTTCAAGCTCCAGAGTAAACTGACAAGATGCCAACTGGAAACTGAGTGCCCCTGCTCAAACTCTGGGCAAGACAGTAGCAGAAACATGGGCTGCAACAATTTCAGTACCCAAGGCAGCCAGGACATCCTGCATTATGCACAGGTTGCCCTATGAACTAGGACAGGGGGGAGCATGCATTGCCCAGGTGGGGCACAGAGATGGGAAGGTGGGAGTCATGTACTCAGCACCCTCAAAAATTGGGCTAAAGGGGCAGAAACTTGGATCTGGCTCTAATGTCAACTGCTGCACCCTGAACATGTCACAGCTCTTATGTGCTATAATTTATAGGCAGTGAATAATATTTGCATAATTCAGAGGGGTAATACATAAGAACACACTATAATCACAGAAATACCTATATTCACAAAATAATTTTAAAACATAGTTTTGCAGGGGCTGATTTTAAAACCAAATCCTTGTCATCTTAAAACCCACTCCAGACTGGGCAGCCTTTGAACACGAACATCACTGAACACGTTCCTTCTCCCCTTTCCCATCACCTTCAACACAGATGTACCTTACAAAGCAATACAAATTCTGCAGCATCTCAACAAATCAGGGATGACAGGAGGAAGGAATGTTATAACATGATTTATTAAAATCAGTTTATAAAACCCTAGGGCCAGTTCACAGAGAAGAATGGAAGTCTCATCCGACATTCTGAAGATGGGAACAGGGCTCACCAGAAAAGGTCCAAAGCCTTGAGCTGATCTTTGTTGGGGGTGACCAAATCTGTTTGGCAGTCAGACGTGGCAATTAGGATCCTCTCTGGTGCCTTGTTTTCCTTTTTAACCTTCAACATTCTTCTCAGCCTATTACCACTACAGTACCCTGTGTGCCTACCACCATGGCATTTTTGCCTGCATCACTGGAAGCACAGGATTCTCACCCCAGACTCTGATAATACTTTCACAAATATTTGTTTCACCTCAACTTCAAAAAAAAACCACACCAAAAACCAAAAAACCCCAAACAACCAAAATACAATGAGAGGAGCTATTTTGATCACAAAGTAAAACAAATCAGCAAACCAAAGCTAGAATCCCATAAAACAAAGACAAAAGATGGGGGGGGGGGAAATAGGTGGTTATACTCAAAGGTGATTTCTCTTAAGTGGCAAAAATCTTTGGATGCAGAAACACTGACAAAGCACTGCAAATAAAGTAGCATCCTCCCCTCCCTGACCCCAGGAATAAACCCAACCCCAGCACCACAAAACTTGTTATGATCTGCAGATGTCAGGCACAGGACCTGGAGGTAATTACCAGAAGGGATGCTGGCAGACACCAGGGTCCATTCACAGGACATGCATTTACCACTTCTTCCCGAATTTCAGAAGTCTTGTCTTCTAGAGCAGTCTCTTGTATACAATTGCATGTCCAGCTGCACACCCTAGAGGTTATGGATCCAAGAGGAACAGCAATATTCTCTGCAGGATACTTTCAACTAATTCAATCCTTATTAAACTCTTCACATAAAGCACTATTTAAATTAAAAACATTACAAGAGAGGGATGTGACTGGCACAGACATGACACAATGGTTACAATTTAGAAAACTTACATGTTATCAAATGAGACTCCAAGACAAACTCAAATCTTCACATGAGCGCAGAGGAAGACTTTATAAAAATGGAAATGTATGGATGCTTTTTTCCTGCAACAGGAATAACTGATTACTGTTTAGAGGTGATATTCTGTAACTATAGGAGGTAAGTTTGGAAATAATTGACTATTACCAACTCTAACATGAAATGCTGTCCAGATGCATCCATAATAGAGCTGCACCCGTGCTACTTGCATAAAGAGCAGTGACATTTTTCTCCGTTCTCACTACTCATGTTTGAACTGCTAGAACTCTCCTAGCAGAACACTTGGCATTTTTCTATTCCCAACTTGAAAACAGTAGCAGAAGTTACTCTTGTAGATGGCTGTTAAGGCCTCAGTGCATTAGTATTCTGAGACTTCCACCTGATCTTTCCTCTCATCCAACAGTATCAAAGCCAGAACAAAAACCCGTAACATTTCTGGTATTACTGTCCCTTCCCCGGCAATATGCAACAGAATCATGTCATATATGTTAGACTTGAAAAGCAAAGCCCCAATTCAAGTTAGAAAAATGTAATCATTCACACTGCTCCCTCTTGGCAGGATAGCTTCTTCTTGATCTCATTGCCCAGATTTGTGGCACGGACTGAGTTGATCAGACTGATTTTCAGTTGTTCCTTTTAAAGTTCTACCCTCCACCCACAGGTCCTTGGCTTCTCACTGGTTATTGCACCCCGGGGCTGCAGAAGAGGTGCCTGCCTGCTTCTGTTTCTTACGGCGTTTGTTCAAGAGGCGGTTGTTGGATGTTTTCAAGTCTTTGATTTTCACCTGATCATAGTCCACTCTCATGGTAGCCAAAGCACTGGTCATCTCCTCCTGTAAACCAAGGAAGCAATGTATTGAAATCCCTGAGGCACTGAGCATTCAGCCACTTCCCCCCCTCCACTACTGCACTACTGCCAGGAGATGAATGTACAAAAAGGAACCCTCTGTTACACGACGGCCAGAAATAGCTGAGCCCTTCCTGCTGTGGTGGACTGTGACTAAAGGCTTCGTTCTACTCATGGACTCATTCAGGAGGAACTATTCACACAGTGTTTCATACATGAGCACGCAGGACCACACTCCACTGGCCTAAATTCCACCATGTCTCTATGCACAGCATTTCCTACTGCCTGGCTCTGGGCCTCCATCAGCCTCTGAGCCGGAACTGCCTGTACCAGACTCGGAACGCTGCCTGCCTTGCTCTCTCACCAAACTAGGGTAGCAGGAGCTGGAATAAAGAGCCCACATCAAGTTGCTTAAAATTATGTGCTTCAAATTCACATGCTTCCTTAGTTTGAGTTAATGTTTAATTGCAGGCAAATTTAAAACTTTTAGATTAGGTTGTGAACAAGAAGATGTCAACGAACATCTAGGCATTTAGCTCAGGAAAGGGAAAATGATTAAATATTATGGGAATGTCGGTGGCCCAACGGAATACCTCTGGGACCTAGACAAAGCACAAGAATGGAAATGAAGAAGGCTGAGTCAAAAGATCTGTTTGATCTCTTTGACTTAGGCGGCAAAAGTTGCCTAGGTCTCTGAAATTTTACTATTACACAGCTCAACACCTGAGCCTGTTGAGCTATGGAAGGGTACATCCGTGCCATCAGTAATCGTATTTAAATCCATTTAAATCCATCAGTAATTTAAATAAAATCAGTAATCAGTAAAATACACCTCAGGAATGTTGCAATTACCAACATGCCAAGCACTGTAAGTGGAGAAAATTCGGAACTAATTGTAAAAGCATGCCAACCTGATAAAGGCCAGCAGGAAAGAGTTAAGGCTTGCAAACAACTTTTAGTCTGCTCTATAGTTTCACTTTGCAGGAAGCATTCAGCTGTCATCACTACAAACTGTAGGTGAGGCACCTGGTTAGACTAAGGGAAAGATAGATACGTTGTTTTCCTCCCCTCCCATGTCATCACAAGGCTAAGGCTATTCAATGCTGGTTTACAATACAGGAACAGAGCAGAAAACCAGAATGTAGCTCAACCGTGCCACCCTGTCCCCTGCATTTCCATCATATTCTTCACTTCACTTTAACAAACTTGAAATTCCCTCAACACTGTCCCTTCTCCTCTGTAACCACATACAGGGGCTCAGCAGGTAGCATCAGTAATACCTGTGACATTTGGCACAGCTGCAAGGATGTCAGATGAAGCTCAAATAGCATTCTGGTTTTTAACAGTTGCATACACTACTGTTCTAACCAAGACTGTTTATGCTTCCCTTGTTAAACATGGCTGTATTCAAACTAGCCATGATCTCCAAGGATCAAGGAGAAGCCAGCCTATCTAATCTCCTACCAGACTTGACTTCAAGAAATCTGAACTACAGATTGACTCACTTTAACTTCATCCCAGTGGTCTTTATCCTCTTGCAGGACCCGTGCAGTATGAAGAGGGGTTGGTGGCACTGCCATTGATCTCTGAGAAAAGGGAAAACACAAAACAAGTGGTGTGCAAAATCACATTTGGGAAGTAACTGCTCATGCCTATGTGTATGGAGGACATAAGGCTCTACCTAATGTCCTTCAGTGGCCCTCATTATTCATGCTTTTAAGCACTCTATAAGCAAAGTCATGTGTGAGGTAGAAAAGGATTGTAGTCACCACATAACAGTATCTTTAAAGAGCAATCAGTGCCAAGTTTCTTTGACTCTGCTCCCCTCCAATTCAGCCAAGTGTTGGATAAATTTTTATGTTCATTTTAGATTTTACCTGTCATTTCACTATTCATTAGCCAATGTTTTAAAGTGGTTAACTGACCTTTATCTTCTAGGATTTGTGTTAGGACCTATTTTCTTGTACATATACATTAACTAAGATTGCCAGTTTATCAGATCATAAATGTGCCCAAAAGGGGAAATTATACCATTATTCAGAGTAAGGCACAGTTCAGAAGACAATGAATCACCTGAGATGCTCTTCCACATAAAACCAAGATCTATGCTCAACTGCCATGGAAGATCAGCAGATACTTTAAATTAGAATATAGTACAGTTTCTAAAACACGAAGGACAGTTCCCTAGCTAAATTCAGCAAGAATCATGGCATTTTCTTACCAGCCTTGTAATTTCATTTGGATATTCTATCTTCCTTATGCTTTCTACCCAAACTTGCTGTCTACTGGCATCCTACGCCAGACATAGCTACGTATCAACAAAGTCTAAGGAGATTCCTGTACACATCACTGTAAAATAAGCATTACACTGGAGGCAGTGCTTAGACACCACCGAGCTAACAGCAGCACTGCAGTAGTTACAGAAGAAGAAATCATGAATCCTGCATGCTCTGGAAAGGCTCCTAGCTGTCCAGATATAGTTCCATCAAGTCCAGCTGGGATGAGAGAAATAGAAAACCAGCTGACAGGCTTTAGTAGTGTCCCTGAGGAGGTGTTGCAGGTGCCCTCCTATCTGGTGTGAGCTGCTACTTGATAAAATAATCTTACCTACAAGATAACAGCCAATTTTTGCACAGTCCACAATAATACTTCTGTATCCATTTAATGACAAAAATAAAAATAAAAAAGAGGAAAGACAAACATCCTCCTTCCCTGCTTGTGCAGGGCATCACTCCCAACATGTTCCCACTTTAGGATTTAGGAAAAAGAAGAACACAGGCATTCACTGTGTTGGTCTTTCCCCCTCCCTCCCTCTGCCTCAGGGGAACAATAGGTTCAGCAATAAAAAATGCCAACCTGCAGCTCCTAGAGCATTCTTCCAGGAACAGTATTCTAGCCCAGCTCTTTGGTGCAGCAGAATCTATAGACCTTGTCTCTAATCTCCTCCTTATTAATTGGTTATATGCATATTTCAAGTAACATGTGTCACTGTAGGTGGTAGCTTCCTTAGCTATTAGGCACTCATTCTGTGAAATTCATCGCCTGCTGACTTCTGAAACACCTCCTTCTTGGGTCTTCAAACACTTAAAGCTGGAGGTATTTATTCTGAACAGTGATTACAATTTTATTTGGTTAGAAAGGACAGAAACATTGTCTAGGTTCTGTTCTAGTTCTAGGGAGTTTTTGTAGCCTCAGTTTCTCAGCTTTTCCAATTCTAAATCTCCTTCATTGGGATCTTACACAGCTACATTTCTGTATCATTCTAAGGGCTTTCAGATCTTCCAAGAGACACTATAGAAATGCTGCCTCTTTCTGCACCTACCTCTGAGGGTCAGCAAAGACAGAGAAAGCATTATGGGAGGAACAGCAGTACACGTGCTCCTGCTCCTGGCTGATGATTTTTGGGCAGTGAGAACAAGAGCGGTGTCCTTTCAGGCACAAATGTGAGAAGGACAAGCTATTATTTTGAGTGACACCTGCAGAGCAGAGATGATACCCTGAAACTCAGCCTGGTAACTCCTGGGACTCCTGTCTCTTGTTTGAAATTATTAATACTGTATTATTAGAGTTGTTTGTTTGGCGGGGGGGGGGTTTAAACCCAAAAATATTTTTTAAGGAAAAGTAAATTCAACCAAGCCAGGGAATGAAACCTGAGCTGGGACCATTAATAGCTCTGTGTACCACCCTACCTGGCAATCTCTCCCAGGGCACTAAGCCGAGACCCTGACTCCTCCCTCCAGCACTTCCAAACTCTGCCAAGGATGAGAATCCCCACTAAGCACAGGACCGTGTTCAGGCTAACACAGCCATGCACAATGGTGCCTGAGACCACTAATAATATCTCTCTTCAAATCCTGCCCTGATGAAGTAAGTACATAGAGTTTGTATTTCTGAAGAGAGTAACACATGTATATGCTGAAGAGTCAAACAGTGACTGCCTGCTCACAGGAGATACACATACATTCGACTTTTGCTTCCAAGAATGCTCTTGTGGGTGTCTCTCTGTATGACCTCTAGTAACACCAAGAATTGTGGGTCTTCAGGCAGATGGCCCTCTGTGGAGGGCACAGTAAGTTAATTGAGCTATCAGCAGTACATGTAGCTCCACATAGCACAGTAAGTTCTGCAAGTAAGAATTCATCTCAGGAAAAGAGATCTGAAACTCACATTAATCCAAGGGTGATTCATAAACTGAGAAACTGTCATCCTCTCCGTCGGGTCAGTCTTCAGTAAATGGCGAATCAGTTGTTTGGCTGAAAAACAAGACCAACAAAGGCATGTTGTAGCCTCCTGCTGTGCTCCCAAATAACCTTGAGAATGCAAAGACCTGCTAAATGAAGAAAGATAATGTTGCAGAACTCAAAACACCTACCTATGGCTATTAGCATGTTAAGAAACCATGTACAGTGTGGTAGGCTACTATGCTTAAAGAGTCAGAACAAGAAAGCATCCAAAACAAGAGGTACGAAGGAAAGACAAAGGAATGGGGATTCCAGCTATGCTATCTACATCACCAAATCAACTGTGGAGAGCAAGAACTTGAGAAAAAGAGAAACACAGGAATAGAAAGCTGCCACGCTGCCTGTCTGAAAGATGCTAACAAGCTTGGCATTATGGGCTGAATGAATGCATAAGCTGATGTTTTGAGAAATGACACAGAACAAAAACTAGCACAGGCTGTGGAAAAGGACAATATACTCTTGACAACCCAGAGGGCACTAAAAGGACAACAAAGAAGAAACAGATTGCACAAACAAGCTTTGCTTAGATTTTATTTAGATTTACACATAACTTCCTTGGGATAACCTAAAAAACCTTCTGAATAAGAGTTCTCTTTCAGAAACATCAAATGCAGCATGACTAAATGCTTGTAAGGAGCTGCCAGAGGTACAAGTTTGTCAAGTGAGGCTGCAAGAGTTTTGCAGTAGAGATTACCTAGAATCTAAAATGTACAAAGAAAGAAAAGGAGGGGACCACAGAAAGAACCCATTAAAATGATTACAGAAGCTGGAGAGGAATTCAGAGGAAGTCTCTATAGTTGATGGAATGATTAAAGAATAGCATGACAAGAAAAGTACAGAAGAGGGAAAAGAAGCAGTCTGCTGAAGGTGCCTGATCATCCTAAGAGACACATAAACTAGCTGACTGAATAGGTTTAAAGGTAGAGGGCACCTATCTTCATTCAGCAAGCACACAGAAACCCTCCAAATTTTCCAAGTGCATGTTCTCTCACTGAGCTCCCCTAGAATTTTAGTAACTGCTGTAATAAGAACAAGAGCCAAGCCAGTCAAAATATTAAGCCAGAAACCTTCAAGTAAAACATCTTCCTTACTAAGGCTCAGTAGCCTGTGCTGTACATGCAGCCATGACATCCAATGAGGGGTTAAAATGCCACAGATCAGTAATTTGTTATTGCTAAACAGCAGACAATAACAGGATGCAAGCAACAGCAATGTAAAGGGCTTGTTAGAAAGACATGCTCAGAGGTTGCTGACCTTCCTCTCTAATAGGAAAGGCACGTGAGACTTCCAGCTTACCAGGATGTCAGAATAACAGGGTATCAAAAACATCCACTTCCAGGACATTGGTTTGAGCCCATCCAAGTCACAGCTGAACAGCAGCAGATTTTGGTCAACGATTCATACAAAATAAATTGTTGACCTTCATTTAAGTGGTGGCTGGCAGGTTCCCACATCACAAAAAAACAGCAGGAAAACTTGCCATCCTTGCGGGCTGCATCACCAAGGAGGGCAAAGACTGAATAATTTCTCAATACAGTTTGCCTTTCCTCCAGCTCAGCTTGCATTGCAGCTGTCCTGACAGCCTCCTTTCTCAGGATTAAAGACTTCTGTTTCCAGAGGGTTTAATCTCAGCATTCACTAGCACTAGCTGCAATCTGGAAGTTTGCAGTAGTCATTTACTTTCTGTAGCACTGTTTGCTGCCAGGATCTGAGTTCCAGTCATTCTCTGTATCACCTTACAAGTAATAATTTAAGTTCTAAACCAAAAGGAAACATAACCAAAGACAGGCTTTTAGAAGCACACCACCACCCACATGCTCATCATTACCTTCCTCTGATACCTCAGCCCACTCTGGATTGGGAAATCCATATTGCCCCATCCGAATTCTTCTCTTCATGCCTGGAGAAATGGCTTGACCAGTGTTTGAGTAGAATGGAGGGAACCCACACAGGCTGGAAGAGTGGACAAGAGAACTCTTAGAACTCGGGAAGTCCTTTCAGCTCTTACAAAGTCCCATACAAGCTCGTACTCTTCTGCAGGTTGCATGATCCTAGTGACTAATTGCTGGCAAGTGCAGATTTGACAAGATGTGTCCTTGTGTTCATTGAGCCTCTTTCCAAATACTTACAGAATATATGTGATGACACCCAACGACCACATGTCACATGATTTGTCATACTTCTCAGGACCAAGGACTTCTGGGGCTGAAGAAGATTAAAACCAGAAATTAACAGAGCACCAGATGTTGCCTGTCATCTTCATCACCTTATAAGTAGCAACACACTTCAACAACAAGCAGCAGATGCATTAGAAAACTGCAACTCACTGCAGGAACTGGGTGGTACTTTCTATTGACAAGTTCCTAAACACATCTGATACAGCTTTAAACCAGGAGGAATGGAGTTGGTAAAATGCCCTACTCTTCACCTTAGTGTCTCTCTGCTCAAGAGAGTACTAAGATTACAGAAAAGCAGAAGGAGCTATAGCTAAATGTGTACAGGGAGACACTGCACCGAGAGAGGCAGGAGCATATGTTCCAGAAATCAGAACAGAAAAGACCTATTTGAGCTGTGATAAACTTTTGAATGATACCTAGCTGGAGTGTGCTTAGCTCCAGCAGCTACAGAGCACTCTATTTTACTTTGGCCTCCAGAGTATTATATTTTTCACTAAGTAACGAAAAAATAGAGATACCCATTTAGAGGGGATGCTTCTGCTTTCCCCTGAGGCAGGTGAACTGGCAGGGAGCTTGATTTTGTGAGGAAAATGATTCTCTAGACATATGAGCAATCATGCTGGTTTATAAAAAGGTGCTGAGAAGGGAAATGTCAGCTTGTTTATAAACAAATATAAAGGCATAAAACCCTGGATCTGTGAATTCCTTCGCATTTTATCACTAATCCCATCTTGCAAAAATATAGAAGAAACCATCAGGAAAAAAATCCTGCTACTGTAATTAGCTGCTAACAATGAATAACAATATTTTTCAATAGAAAAAAAACCTATAAAACTTACATTGTAGAGTAGAAATAATTCTTCCAAAAATAATAATGAAAAAAAAAAGCCTTTTTTTCTCTCCAACAAAATTCCAAATATGGACTGCCTCAGTCATACCATATGGAAAATGACTATCCACTCAAAGACCAAAAGCAATGTACTCTAAAATGAGGGCAGAAAGGACAGCCTACTATGGCTTTCATCACACACTGCCCTGTCTTGGGACAAAATACAGGCAAAAATTTAGCTGTGATGAAGTCACATTTGTCTTTTATTAGTAACTCTTACATTTGCCAGCTTTAAGAAGCTTTATTAGCTGAGGCAGTGCTCTCCCGGTTCTCTCCTATTGCACTAGTTAGGCTAAGGGAAGTTTCGCCAGGAAACACTCAACCAACCATGAAGCAGAGTTCAACTGTGGCTTTTATCACATCACTCAGAAAGAACATCAGGATTACTCAAAGTGTAATCAGAGGCAACATGTTCTCTCTCCTTGATCCTCATTTGTGTCCCCTGTTAAGGCTGTTTTCTCTGCAACCAAGGAAGAAAGCAGGAGCGCTGACCTGTACTGGAACCAGACTAGGCTTGGGTTGGACCCCAGTTCAAATTCTGCAGGCTACCTCTTTACATTGCATCCACAATAGAAGGTTTCCCATCCATTCCTACAGTCCACAGGGCCCACTACAAGGGGGTGGATGACAGAACGAAAGACAAAACCAATGCATTTTGGATAACTTACCCACATAATAAGGAGTGTAACAGGGGGTCTGCAGTGCATTTACAGCTGTTTCTTTGGCAAAGCCGAAGTCTGTGAGTTTGAGGACAGTATCCTTCTCTTTAGATGTGTAAAGCAAGTTTTCAGGCTGAAAGACCACCAAAAGAAAGGATAAAATGGACAATGAAGAGATACCTCTAATGAGCTCAGAGATCAAACCATTCTTGCTTGCCTGGATCTGTGTCTTGTTACTTCTCCCACACCCCCCACCATACCATGCAGAAAGTACCCTCCCAACACATAGCATTTCTGCTGTGACTAAGGATCAACATCCTCCTTGACGTGGTATTTAGGAGAGCAAATCACAAGACTCTCATCAGGTCCAATGGATTCTTGAACCCCTCTCTAATTTACATGCTGTTCTAGGATTGTTCTGTCTGATCAACACACCAGTTGATCTGACAACACTCTGCACCACACTCAAGTAGCTAGTGTGGAAGATAAGAGAAGTCATCATCCAAACTCTCTATGAACAACTAACACAACTCCATCAGAATTAACTGATACAGACACAGCCTCCTTCCTGCCCCCCACCTCCCACCTCTGCCACGTGAAACCAGGGTTAACTCCATTCTAGCTTCATGCTCCATAAAGGCTCTCCAAAACCAGAAGTGGCACAGAGGGAAGTATACAAGTGCTTGTGCACAAGAGCAGGGACAACAGCACATCTCCAGAACCTGCAATTGTTTGAACCTGTTTTCCAGTTTCTCAGTTTTAAGGAAGCTACAGCCTCTCTCATGTTAGTGTTTAGGGACATAAAGAAGGAAGGACTTGAAAGAAAACAGGATTTAGGACTGGAACCATTTCTATGGGAGTGCACTGACTGTGGTTAGGAGGTGTCTGGGGCTAAGTGCTTTGGTTTCCATGGTGGGATAGGCAATGGCACACAGCTCCACAACAGTGAGCAGATTTTTAGTCTAAACTGTTCAGTCATTCTCCAGTTCCTACCTAAAGAACCCTCAAACATCCCACTCAGTGACACCGAGCGATGACAGCTCTCCCTCCAGCTAAACGCACAGAAGCATCTGTAGAGAATTCAGAAACTCAGAGCTGCAGAATCAATCAGGTGCCTCAGTCTACCATTATGTAACCTGCTCTCCACCCCACTGCCTCAACACTGCGCTGAAACCCCCTCAGTGCAGCTCTCTTGCCTTTGCTCTTCACAGAATGAAACCAAACACGACACTACAAACCCTGTCAAACCTCCACGACAAGATCTGTGTACCCTTGGTAGGAACTGGGAAACTCCCCATTTTCCCAAACATTTACATACACTATTAAAGTGGTTTGGATGCATGGAATTGGTATTATTCCTCCCACACATGCATGCTCTCCTGTTTCTGAAGGAAAAGGGGAATTTTTGTTTGTTTTGTGGGTTTGGGGGGTATGGATTGTTTTTTACACAAGTAGGATCCTAAAACCAGCTAAAACCTGGTAAAGGCTGTGCATCGAGGTATAGCATCCAGTATAAGTTTACTTCTGGCAATGTTATTTTCTTGTTAATTAACTGGATTGCAGGCTTTTTAATTAATCATCTATTACAAGATTCCTCTGCATCCTGTACACAACTGGAAGGCATTAACATACAACTATTCTGACCTTTACCTAGCTGCACACTAGGGGTGAAGAGATCCCTTCTCATGCTGGCACAGGAAGGGGAACACCTGGACCACCTGATTGTACTCCTAGGTATATTTAAACCACCAATGCCCATTTATTTTTCTACCTTATGCTTTTTTCTCCCTGTCCACACACCTTCAGGCCTCACCTTGACATCTCTATGGGCAATGTTCATTGAATGCAGATACTGGATGGCTGTCCCGATGTCTCTCATTATTTCAGAGGCCTCTATAAATACAATTTTAGAGAAAGGTCACATTAACATTCCCACCGTAACTCAGGGACATGCCTAGGAATGCCTACGACTTACAAACAGCTTGCTGGAATACAGGGCTAGCGTCAAGACTAGAAAACCTAAAATTAGCCCTAACAGCTGTGTTTTGGTTTTGCAGGCAACCATTCCCCCTAATTCCTGGGCTGCTCCTCCTGAGAAGGCACCGAACGGAACCGCTGAGATCCTGCTTTTGATGAGCTTGTAAAGCTGGCTTTCCTTTGCTCGCCAGAAAAGCAGCAAGAGCAGAGCAGGTATGCAAGCCACATGCAAGACTGAGGAGAAAGAAGCCCCCACCAGGACATGTCCTCTACTGCCCAAGACAGAAGTTTCACTCTCAGCTTCTAGTGCAGGAGTAATAGGCAAGAGGAGGATCTAACAGATCTTCTAGAAGCAGAGCAACAGAACAACCCAGCAATTTTAGGATCAGTCACGTCTTTATTCCTCACTGCCTTTAGAAGTTTTTTTCCTCAGGAAAACCAAAATCATCAGTTCAATTCTGCAAAGCCCAAACTGCCACCTTGAAATACTGTTTTGAAAATTCAGTGTAACCCCAATGGGAAATTGTAGTGTTTGGTGAGCTGCCTTGCAGCAGCAGCACTCTCAAAGCCTGGAAGAGTTCAGTTACATAGGGAAAGGTTTCAGAGCAGGGAGGAGTGACATTCCCATTGTATCAAGTGAGCATTATATTACATCTCTGCTGACAGGGAAACGATTAGCAACTTAACCGGATCCTCTGTTTTCTGCATAGGCAGAAACCTCAGCTGCAGCAGTGAGAGAGAGTTAGAAATTCTCATACTGCAACCTGGAACCTTTTTTTACATGCTTGAGACTGAAACTGCACCATCTCGGGCAAGGACAATCAGAAGGCACAAACACTCATCTTCTTCAGGGAAAAACCTCCTTCCTGGCCCAGGTCACAATCTCTAGCTCCTAATGGGAAGTTGTGGCTGATACATATACAGCCAGTGAACCTGGGGAATCCAGTGGAACTGGGCTCATTTATCTCAGGAAAGAATGGAGGCGGTTTTGCTGTTTAAGACTCCCAGCTGATTTCTGAGTAAGTATTTAGAATGCTATACAACGCTATCTAATGTAGAAAAATCATGTTTTTAGCAGAGTGGAGTCACTAATGATCACAGAACCAGTTTCCCTCCTGGAATTCGGCATTTTGGAGAGGAACAAGTAAAGTTCCTGAAAATGCTCATTTTCCCTGCACAAGTCTCTAATACCACTTAAAGGCTGCAAAACACAGGCTAAAAAAAAAATTAATAATCCCTGGCACCTACACCAGACTTGCAGAACAGCCACAGTAATTCATAAGTTCAGGTGTAAATTTGTCTTCATTTTATCAGGATGCTAGTTACAAACGTTAACAATTTTACTCCTGAGCAGGAACAAGCTTTTATTGGTTGTGACTGGATGAGGAGAACCACTGTCAAGTACCTCTGTGGTACTCTGCAAATAATATATAGCTAAGAGAATAAAAATGGCAAGACTAGTCTGTGGCAAGCTCTGTCACTGACTCATAGGAGGTCTTTCAATTCGCACGTAGTCCCTGTATAGATAAGCAGACTTGTTTACGGTGTGGCTAATAACACTTCCTTTCAAGTAGTACTTAAAACCCTTGACTAAGAGATGTTTCATCGAAAGTGATTTGCTCATTATGTTCATCACCTCACAGTATAGCTGTGCACAGTGATGTTGCTTGAGGGGCAGCCAGAAGAGAAATCACAGCAGGAGCTGTGCTGATCATGTTAGAGGTGGTCTGGCAGGAGACCAGGGACTTGAGCAACAGAGGCTGCGGTGGTTCAGAAATGAAGAAGCTGAGCAGATCTGTATGAAGAGTTTTCCTCTAAACCTTCCACACTGTGCCTGAACTTGGTCATTTCTGGTAATTCCTGATCTTCACGAATTTTGAAAAATAACTGCTTAATACGGAGCTCAACAGAAAACAAATAAATAATTATCCAAGTCAAAGAAAAAAATCCTGTAAGGGAACTAAGCAAGGGGACACAACGAGAGAAGCAATCTTTCACAAACTTCAATTTTAAATGTGTGAATTTCACCTCTCTCAGTGAATGCTTGATCTCCTCTCTCCTGGATCCTGCTAAACAGCTCTCCTCCTTCCATGCTGAAACAAAGAGCACAAAAAAGCCCACCTTACAAGAGCAGAAAAGACCAAGTTAACATCTGACTATGCATCCACAGAATCACACACAACCACAGCAGGAACAGATTACAAAAGATTACATGCTGCCTCCTATGCCAATGCTTCCTGAACATCACACTCATTTGAATCAATGCACAAAGCCATTCTGATACGGAATAAACTGAAAACAAAACAGTAACAATAAACTGAAAACAAGACCAAGGAGTTCTGATGCTTTCAGTTTAATGTACCCAGTCCCAAGGAAGCTTGGAAGTCAGATATGCTGGCACTGGGAGGCTGTTTTTTTGTAAGGGTTGGAGAGAAAAGAAAAAGAAAGAAGGAAGCAAAGATAATTTGTCCCCAGTGAAGACAACAGTAACTGTGGTATTAGAGGTCAAGTCAAAATAATAGCAGAAAGGAACATGTCAGATCACTGGATTTACACCCGAAATCGATGACAATCACAATCAAAGCTCATCATATTTGTAGAGACGTATCTCTTAAGACTGTATTGATAAGTCAATGCTTTAATGAGGACAACTGACACGGACTACAAGGAAAACTTACTTTCAGTTAAGGTTTCTCACACAAGATGCTGAAGCAGCTCTACATTTCCCTACCAGTTCCATAAAGACAGCAAAAGGTCTGCTGTGCAAACCCAAATCCCACTGCTGAGAAAGCTCACCCAGCTGCCACCTAAGGCAACGTATTCCCCCATTCCCTCCAGGCCCTCAAAGGGCAATGCTTGGTGAAGGCTGCTGCTGGTGCATACCATTCCATGACAATGAGGAGGCATCTCTTTCCATGATGTATATTCTCATAAACATCCAGAACATGGACAATGTGGGGACACCCTGATGCTCGCCAATGATACTCGACTTCCTGACGGGCTTTTGGGTTGTCATACAGGAGCTGTAAAGAAATAGGAGACAAATGTCAGTCAGGCAGTATCATTCTGCTTTAAATTGGCACCTACAGGTATTTGAGCTCAAAGATGGGGGCAAAAGCTACTCTTAGCACTTTCTCCAGCCAAAGGATGACAATCCATCATAAGACTTTCATTATCTCTGGGCTGTCTGGCTTCCTAGATTGAGGAACACAGAAACAACTGGTCCCTTGGAACTGGAAGGACCTTGAGTGGCAGTAAGGAGAGATCTCAAATCTCAGATGAATCCCACCTGTGGATGGGAAACCACAATGTTTTCCTACTTGTTTGCAGCACTTGCCAACAGAGAAGAATCCCTCTGCTAAGGACAATAACCCTCCCACCTGCCCGGAAAAGAGACCTCTAGGTTCACTGCAGATCCCTTCAGCTCAGTGAGATTTAAAACAATGAGGACCTTCACACTGACTCTGAACATGCTTAAATACTACCAAATTTCTGACCCCATCAGAACCCCATCTGACCCTGACCCATCAGGGTCAGAAAGGGATCTTTATCTAGATGCTTGAACACCTTTCTTGGTCACATGCAAGGCCAGGTTGTTTTAAAGGTGCTAATCTCTAGAGGGGAGGTAAGAGCTCATCCTTCCTGATTCTGCAACCTTGTGTACAACCTTGTATGCATTTCCTGTGGACAAGAGGTCCTTGCCTATTTGAAGAACTGCTCTGCATCAGATCCTGCAACGGAGCTTTTGTGCTGAATCATGTCTTTTCTCATCTGCGTCATCTCTCGACACCACCAACTCTTTGTGACACCCTTTTCTGCACATTTGTATGGTTCCTACACAATACAGCTGTGATCCGAGTTTGGTACTTTATGCCCTATAGTAATGATAATTGTAATGATGGAGTAGCAACAAAACCGATGGTATATAAAGCATCGTTAAATGCACTGAAACAGAATAAAAAAGATGCCAAGAACAATCAACTCTGATCTATTAGCCTTGGAAAAGGACTACACCAACGCTGGGGGACACACAATGATACTGTTTTCAAACAGAAAACAAAAAGTATCATTGCTGCACTATTGGGCCTTGGCCTGAAGCTCTTCTCATTCATGTTTGCTATCAGGTCTCAGTCAAAACACAACTCCAGTGTAATTGCTGAAAACAAGTATTAACATGTAACCTGTCATTAGGGACCAATGAATCAGACTAGGACTGTTTTTCTACCCAATTGCCAAGCTAAGGCACAAATGGTGTCACAAGCACCTCTCAATATAGGGAAACTTATAGGAAAGAAGTTGCAAATTCTGGTTTCTTTATTGACTCCAATATAATTTACGTCACCGGGGAAAAAAAAAACAACCCCAAACCAAACCACAGCCCTAAACTTACAGTGGTGCTTCAACATCCTTTTCAGCAACAGACACCATAACCAGGCAGGAAAGGCCTGTAACATGTTACAAAATGCTGGGGAAGCGCTTGGGAACCGCTTGGACAGAAGGCAAGAGGCTTCTCCCCTTTTTGAGGCTGGGAACAGGAAAAGGGTGACAAGTACTCCTCTGCTGAGTGCACTTTTGTGAAGCACAGAGAGGCTGCAGAAAGGCATGAGTGGCCTCAGGAGCAGTGAAGGGGCAGGGAGCCCCACCACCGTGACCGCCCTGCAGGCTCCCTCAGCTCTGCTCCAAAGGCTCCAGCATGACGCCAGATCTGCAGCAGTGCAAGGAGCTGAAGAAGCTTTCTTGCCAAGTTCAATGCCCTCGCAGCCAACCTACTTCTTCCACAGCTGTCATTCTGCACCCAAAGCACACCCTTTTGAGATCACTATCCGCCTCTTCCTTCCTGCTCCAGCCTGGCTGTGGCCTGATTTCCAACACAAATAACTTCCTAAAGAAAGAGATGGCTCCAATTTGGACAAAAAGCCCATTAGCAAGTCCAAGCCAGTTGCTTTACTTCTTTCAGCCATCAGCCCATTCAGCAGCTTTTCCTTCACAGCCACTGTGTTCTAGCTCAGTGGGACTGTCTATCAGCATTTTCCCCTCCGCCCTTCTGAGTTTGGGCTGTTGCCTAGAGGTCTCTTTTAAAAGTTCATTAAATTACATGTGCAACAATAAAGCCCAAACACTCTCAGGACTAACCAGGCCGTTTAGAAAAGCATTACAGGGTCTACTGCTTGGATGTTACTGGATTAATGCCACTTCTGAGCTTCAAAACTTTCTCACCTATCCTGTGCTACTAATGAGACATAACCATCCTCTTTACAAACATTAACTGCACTATAAGCTGTGTATCCTGTGCTTCTACAGTGTGCAGAGGTGTTGTTTTTCATGTCTGCACCAAACACTTACGAAAATTGCTGCACAGAATTGGATTCTCGCTTTCTAAAGAGCTTTTACAAGGCATTTCGATACACACAAGGATGCTGCAGTTTCTTTTTTCCACCCCTAAAAGCAAGTTTCATGTACTCCTTAGTGCCAAGTTTGAATGTACTCATGTCAAGATGACACCTGGAGAAGCAGAGAAAAGGAAATGCAAAAATAAAGAGCAGATACTCATACCAAGCAACATCTGATATATCAACCAACTGTTAACCTTTGGATTTCTCCTTCTGAGCCTTAAAAATAAGTTAAATCTTTTCCTTATGTCTAAAACTGGAAGCCTTAACTATACCTTTTAAGACATCTTAAAGATGCAGACACCTGTAAAATGAAAGCCAGGCAGGTTGAAAACACCAATTCCGACAAAATTTAGGTGACGATTTAAAACCACAGACTGAAAGTATGGCCCTGCAGTATTTAACACACTTGCAAAGAACATAAATGGACATTCTGCCACCTTCTTGAGCCTGAAGAGAGGCTGTGCTTCTACTGCTGCAACAGCTTTGAGCAGACTATGACCAAGTTGCTCTGACAATCTGCACAAGTGCGGAGGTAGCTCTGAACAGGTAAGTTCTGCAGCACTGTGGTTCATGCTGGTTTGTCACACTATCAGCTCCAGGAGTCCCCAGTCATCCCTCTAGAATTCCCACACAGTTTGGCTGAGTCACAGCTTGTCACGATGGGCTGTGGGCAGGATCATGAACTGACCTAACTTCAAAACAAGACAAACCCAAGAGACATGCCATACTCGAAGCTTTTCAGGAAGCCACATCAGTGATCCCATGCACAGTGCATGGGATCTGCACAGCTGTAGACTCTGCATAGCAGCATGGGGATGCTCGTGTCTGTGGTCAGACAATATAGTTTGGAATAGGAACCACACACTAGAAAACTGTATTTTTGCTGGAGATCTGCATTACTGAACCTAAAAAAAGCAGATGAAGCAAGTATTAACAGCTACTTACAGAGAGAACACCAAAACCAGAGGCGATGAAAGGCAAGAAAATACAGGAGCTCTAACTCTTAGTGATTCACACAACTCGTCTTTAGTAGCTGAAAAAGCTGGAGAGGGAAGAGAGCTAAGCCATAGGGTGTGCGCAGCCTGCTTCTGAGGATCAATGGCGCAGGCAGACTGCCCAGGATGCCCTGGGTAATTCAGGGCCTGGGCAGCGGAGGGAGGCCTCATCTCATTGTTCTGGGGTAAAGGCCTAGCTCGGGTTAGCAACCCCACGCAGAAATGAACTACCCAGCTGTGCGAAACCTCCCTCTGCACAATCTCAACAGAAAAAAAGAAAAGATGGGACTAAAAGAAGCAACACAGTATCCTGCAACTGCTTTTCCACGGATTCAGTATTGTGTAAGCAAAAAAGAATAGCAGGAACCCTCATACCTTTACGGTCTGATATACAGAAAATAGCCTTCTAAGGACTTCAGGGAGTGGCAAGTGATTTTTCTGGACTCTGAAATTGTAGCAACAGAGAGAGAAGATATCCCTGGGCGCAGGTACGGAACAGGCTGAGGACAGGGAACAGTGACTTCTCTGCGACTTTAATATGCACTAGTGGGTTACACACATTATTATTACACCTGCTGTCTGTTCCCTACAGAGGGGATTAAGACCCCCACATATGCCTTTTATTGATTTTAAACTTCAGCAATTCCTCCTAGTTCCAAACAGTTGCCGTGCTTGAACTGGAACTGTTACAGCCTCAGCTCTCATCTATTGCACGTGCTACGTTAAAGCAGCACCTGACGCTGCAAGCAGCTTTTACTTACTTGCACCAGTTCCAGAACCCGAACTCTCCCTTCAGCAAACAAGCAGTTTTATAATCTCTACACTATCTTCCTCCCAGGAAGGTTTCCCATTATTAAAACAGAAATGGGACAGCAGAAACTTTCATTCCTAGGGATACTCAGCATGTAACACTGATATATAGGCTCTTAAATGTAGCTTTATTTATTTTGCTAGCTGGAAAAAAAAAAGAAAAGGTGTAAGTGGGTAAATGTCTGACTTTTGCTTTCTTTCCTCGTTGCATGTAGCTGTCACAAAAATGCTGAATCCTACAAATAAGCCTTGGAATCTAAATTCACACTGATGCACAGAAACTAACATGGTTTGCTGCAGAGCAGCTCTTCCAGGCTTTCTTTATTCAAGAGGGGCTGATGGCAAAAGGAGGCTTGGATCATGTTTCTTTCCTCTTCTTTCTCCCCTATGCTACAAAAAGAAGAGGATTAGAGAAACAGAGCTATCACTATGGCTTTGAACATTTTGTCTTTTATCATATCTTGATTATTTGCACTACGTCCATTAATACAATGTTAACAATCTTTATGTTTCTAGATCTCTTCACAAGGGATAAAGCCATTCTTTGTGTTAGAACACTAAAGGGATTGAAATTATCAAGGTTTTCTTCTTCACGCACCAGCACTGCCAGTCAGTCAAGCTGCAGCAAGAAGCATGTGGTGCTTTGCAACAGCAGCCCGGCAGGCAGGGAAATCCACACATGCAAATCCCAAAGAAAGCACACACTGAATTTTTAGTTTAACTAAAAAAGAAGACATTTCTGCTCAAATTAGCACTGAAGCATCAGTCAAGAAACAAGAGACAGGCACTTTGCGCAGGGCAGGCTCAGGTGGTGGATCATCACTA